GTGCTTTTCAGACTTTTCCTTATGATGTGGAAGCAGGCACGTGAAAAGACTGAATTATCCATTGATTGCTATAATTGATACTCTATCAGCCTGCAATACGTTGTTCTTGTATATTTCATAAAGGGACTAGTGGCAATACTCTTAAGAAGAAAGTTCTCCATGTCCTTTTAATACCTGGGTTTGAGGATGGGGGAAGATTGGGGTGTCTAGTTTGGATTTTTTTAGGTTGTTTCTTTTTTAAAATTAAACTAGTCGATCCCCAGTTGTTCCTCCTCTCCCTTGCCCAGTTTGGTTTATTAATATTCAAGATTTTGGTGAAAGACGTACTGAAGGCAAGTTTTGAAAATATACTAACATAATTTCCCTCCCTTTCAACTGCTAGAGGCAAACATCCATCAGTTCCATCAGCTTTTGCCTTCGATTCCTTTCCTCACTCATTCTCAGTCATCTTTTAGTGAGAAAGAAAGACAGGGAAACGTGTTGCTCTGGCAAAAAAAGGCAGTAAACGCAGGGAAGGTGAAGAGTTTTCCTCCATCACACTTACAATGGAAGTCCAATGAATTATGAAAAGCAGCATTTTCCTCAGCTTTCATACACAGTTTTACTCTCCCTTCAACCAAACTGAAAGGTAAAAGAAAATTAAGCAGCCTACAAGAACCAGAAACAAAGTGTGAAAAGCCACAGTTTTGATTCTAAAAGCAAAGCAGGAAGTCCCATGTTCTAATCCAGTTAAAAAAAAAAAACAACAAACCTCATTTTGAAGCCAAATGAGAAGCTCTATTTCAAGAAGTCTCACGAGTAACAGCAGAAGAAGAACCTTGTTTTCAGTCAGAGACTTTTCAAAGGTGTTTTTCTGTTTGCTTGGCTTGCAGATCACCAACCCGCTATTTTAAGAGGCGAAACAGTTCCTAAAATACCTTTGAAAGGTGCTGAAGTAACCACATTCAAATTATTCTTCAGGCGGCGGATTCATACTTCAACTCGATCACCTTCCCACACAACAAAAACAACTCACAGACACAGATGGTGGCTCCCTCCGGCATTCATTTTGCGCATCCAGCAGGACTACGTCTGGTTTGAAGGCTGAAGCTACCTCCACAGAGCTGGCCAAAGACACTCTCCTCCTTCAGGCTCCAAGCCGGTGGCTGCTGAAGGCAGGTGGGAATGCTACAAGGCTCCCTCGGGCAGCTGGACCATGTGCTGTTGGCAGGCAAAGTCATCTGGAAAGGCACCAGGCTCCACCGGTCCTGTCTCCACCCTTTGCTTTTTAAGTTGTCTTTGTGCCACAGGAGTAACACAGAAAGATATGAAATAGATACGTTATGAACCATGATCCTGAGAAGCTGAGAGGAGATTAGAAAGTGAAAGACTCCCTACTCACCACCAACATTGGTCACAAGGAGCACAACTCAGATTTCCATCTTGTGTATTGATGTTAAAGGACAAACGTCTGACGCTTTACACATCAAGAACTGCTCAGCTCACAGGAAAAATAATATCACAACACAATTACTTAATTGTATAATCTGAAAGCAATCTTTCAAACCAGAGGCTGTGAGAACAGCCTTGCGTATTATTTTTTTTCCAAGAACCTCTTGCCTGTTGTGGCATATTCTTAACATGTAAGAGCATGTATATTCCACTTCCATTTACTTTAGGGCAAACTCAACATAGTATATTTACTTAAAAATTATTCAAGTAGGTAGGCTAAAGAACTTAGGACTATTTATTACACAGCACACATGGTTTTCGCAGCCTGCCAAAGCTATCAAACCCCAAAACACCTCCAAAAGGTGGCTGGTGAGAAGGGAAGAGGAGAGCACACATTAGCCAGCAGGAAACCCAAACGGGAGTGAGAAATTTGAATTTGAAGTCCAGCTTCACATCTTCTGCTGGGCACAGAAGTTTCTACTGAGCACTATCAAACTTTGATGTATCAACGAGAAGCTCACAAGCAAAAACATGTTCACTTTTCAAGACACAAACTGAAGGCACCCACAGAAATACTGACTCCCAATAACCAGCAGAGGACTGTTAGCTACTCATTTTGGGTTTTAAAGTTCCTGCTACAGCCCCCTACAGTTTTAAACTGTATAAACAGAAAAAAGCCCCAATGAAAAACCAGCCAAAAAACCCCAAACAAAATTAAAAAAAAAAACCACCACCCTGGTACAACATTTCTAGTGCTCACCAAAAAAGGTAACAAGGGAAGTTTTCAGGATTCTTAGTTTTAGTGCTACCCAAGCCTGAACTCAGAACAAATACAGACACATTACAAACAATAAAAAGCTCTTATCCAGAGCACTGTGAAGCAAGTTGTTTAACCTTAAAATGCCTTCTAAATATTTGAAACCAAATTAGGGGATAAAAACCAAAAGGGAAATAATTAGCGTTTAACATTTGCAATGAAGTGAAATCTAAGACAAACACAGAAGGAGTACTACTGCAATGATGAATTATCTGCAATATTGCACTCACAAATACAAATAAAAACTTAGTCTAAAAGAGGGATTTGCCAGTACACACTAGATCGTACCTTAGAGGCCTTAACTAGTTTTTTTCCTCTTTATGAAAGAACTTTGGTTAAAGATTCCTCAAGAAAGCGGTCCATTACTAAAAACACATCATCAGTAGACCTTTAACATTGTTAACTATCCTGTCAATATAAAAGCAAAGACAACACACTGCAAAAACCACCACCAAAATAACTACATTTAGCAACAAAGGAATACTAACTTTACCCTTCAGAAGGAAGCTGCAGTTTAGGGAAAGCAAACAGCTCTTAGAAACCACTCCTAGAAAGGTTGTTAAGACATAACAACCTCCACATGCAGCATTTATTGGACTGTAAGAAGCAGCAACACCTGTGGCTGAAAGCTTGTAAGGCTGTTGCAGTCCTCATGGATGTTGGTTTTTTTGGTGTGTTTGTGGTTTGGTTTGTCCTGTTTTCTTTTACACCGTGGAAGAAGGAGCTCTGTGGCTACAGAATTGTTTTTATGAATACATGGTTAATGAATGTTCCTGAAAATCTGACTGTAGTAAGCATGCAGGCAGCATTCCAGAAAACTGCTCAGCCCAGGCAAGTCAAACGTGAACCTGAGAGGATCTTTATAGTAGATTGTATCATACAAGTCTTACAGTAATTGAAGATTATAAATACAGTCCTTATCCACAGTGGTTTATTTTGCTGTCCTTTCGTCTACAAAAAAAAGACTAATTCATGTTGTAAGTAAAAAAGGAACTGATGTTGTTGTGCTAACTGCTGAGTATGTAGAAGTAGTGTGATTTAAATAGTTAGAAGGTGAAAACAGATGGAGGAAGCATGGCCCATGAAGGTCTGCTCTTCTGTTTTTCCTCTTTCAATTAGTAGTTCCTTGTAATAAGCCTGCTCCCTCTTCTTGTGCTACTATTCAGTAAACATGCCTTTTCCCTTTCATGCTTTCCAAGTATGGCCTCACAATCTATGACAGATCTTTTTAGTTGCTTTTTAATACTGAATTCCCTTGGACAAGATCTATTATCTCTAGAAATGGTAGTGATATAAAATTAACCTTCTTTCTTTTCCCATATACAGTCATCTATTACAGAAGTCCTCACCACCTTGTCTCAACTCCAGTAGATCCTTAGCAACTTTCCTGACTCTGTTCAAGGGTTGTGACAATCGTCAGCATCTCACACATGATTCCTGAAGTCAGACTGCTGGTGGCATTCAGGAACCTACTTTGATTTTCAAAAGCACTGCCATGAGTTAGGAAACCAAATGCCTTTGAAAATGAGCCCCATAGTAACCCTGGTCTCCAATTCATCCCTTGCTTGTGAAGAGCTCATCAGAGAGAAAGGTCTGTGAAACATACTGTTTTTCTTGTCAGGCCTTGACTGAAAATGCACTAGAGGACATTCACCCTGGAATGTAGAGCTAATTACTGATGTCCAGAAACACATGAGAACCTGACTAAAAGGAAGACCAGTTCGGAGTCACTCCCAGTACCAGTCTCAGGCAAATGAAAACATTTATAACAGGAAATGTGGGTAGGGTGGCATCAGACGTTCTTCCAAGACTTCCAATTTTCCCTTTTCCGCCAAGAAGCAGACACACCTAAAAACCCTCGGGATCTGTCTTCACAAAAACTACCTGTAAGGTTAGAGACCCTGTTGATAGAGTCTGGTACAAACATCATAGCTCTTCCACAAATACAACAACTAGCATCACCTACCAGAGAAAATACCGTTCATAGGTGGGCATTTACCCTTGACGGGGTGTGAGGAGAAATGACACAATCAAAGACTGGTAAAACTTTTCAGTTTTATTAAAAATTGGCAGTTGCATCCCTCCTTTGCTAAGCTTGGCAAGTTTCTGTTGTTTGGTTGTGTGGGTTTGTTGTGGTTTTGGTTTTTTTTTTCCCTATTTTCCTGTGCCATAGGATATTTTGTGGTTAGTGAGCTCTGAAAGCAAAAATAAGCAGCGACCACAAAGCAATTATCAAGAAAGCAGGCTGTGCAAAGAGGGTATCTTTTTGCCATGAGTCTTCCTTCCTCAGAATGACAGACGAGGCTTCAGCAGCCCTGTCAGCCTGCGTGAGACACAGGAAATGCCTGCCAGAAGCTGATTTCCTCTGGATGCCTTGAACGGCCAGGACGATGAGGGTTTGCCAGGCTGCTGCCCCGCAAGGCTGTGTTCTCTTTGTGATAACCAACACCAGCACAAAAGACCTCCAGGCTCATCAGCTCAGACACAGGTATCATTAAGCAGAATTGAAGAGAAGCTTTCACTCCAGATTTCTTCTTAAACAGAAAAGGATAAGTAAAGGTATCTTAAGAATAAGGCGTCTTACTAGATCTATGAGCAGAGTTTTAAAAGTTTTGAAGTTTACTTGTGCTCAGAAACATCACTCTGCATCAGGAACGTGCAGAATCTGACATGAACTTGACTTTCAACTCCTGCTTAAAGTTTAAGACTTAAAAGTTTGATACAGACAGTCAAACAAAAATACAAAGATTGATCAGGTAAACTGACCCTGTCAAACAATAATGTTTATTTCAGTTATAGTAAGCGTAACGTTTCATTTATATTACTAAGGCACAGAACCAAGGACTGAGTGTGTTGCTGCAGGTTAAAAAGCAAAACCTAAATGAAACCACTTCAAGCAGTAGTTCAAATAAGTAACCCACGAATCCCTTTCCCTTCTCCTGTGAGATTCTTAATTCAAATCCAGGTCAAATCAGCAGTACGTGACACCCTAGCAACTGTTTTGGAGACCTAAAGTGAAGGGAAACAATGTCCTATTGGACAATGAAGCAGATTCTTGTGGAGAAATTTAGCAAAGTCAAAACCAGGTGATAAAGAAGTTGAACTGAGTGTTTGAAACACAGTGGAAAGAAGCTTTTCCTCATACCACTGTCATTGAGTTTTCTTGCTTTCCATGTGGTATTCCCCTACCTGCCTGCACTCTTCCCTCCCTTAACACTGAAGGATAATAAAGGAGTGGATCAGGCTTCCAAGTGAGTTGATTTCTTTCCTTAAATCTACAGCATTACTTGTATAGGTGAACAAGCAGTAGAAAAATCTGGTGAAGAAGAAAGTGTGAAGTTTGTCTTGGGAAGACATTGAAATGTTTGATTATCTTGAAACACAACACAGGCTGAAGGGTAGGTGACTAGTTGAGTTCCTCACAGTCAGTGACAGGACTGTCCCCTGTTAATGGTGAAATTCTCACTATCAGCTGTGGCAGCAGGGAAAGTACAGCCTTCCCAAGGTAGACTGATTAGGCTAAGAAGCACACACTAGCATGGCATGTTCTATGCTATAATTTAGTGCAATATTACCATAACACAAGCGGAAAAATGTTAGTTTGTTAGTGCCCACTACAGAATTAAAACTTACTCCCTGCCCTCACCCCCGGCCCACAAGCCTTAGGATGCCCTTCTGGATGAAATTGCTTTCTCTTGGTAAAATGCTAAAATTCCCGCTTTTGTTTTGAGTAACTAATTTCAGCTGTCTGTCTTCTTGCTGGCAGATCTTCATTTTCCAGTCCTAGAAACTGCCTGAATTGCTCTGATCCACTCCGTGCGCTCTGCGGATGAGGCTGCTTGCAAGTAATAGTGGATTTCATTTGCCGTGATGATCTCAAAGAGGATGTTGTCAACATCGTACTTCTTGGCTACAGAGAAGAAATAAGTCAGTCAGCTAGGAGCGAATAAAGTATTGTATTTACAACGTTTCTTCCTTTACACACTGTAAGGGGATGTCTTTCCTTTCTATAGGCCTTGCCAGCTACAAGAACAAGACATTTAAGTTCATGTCACATCCAGAATCTCCGGTTCTTTCCGCATCTGCCAGCAGAGCCCACACAGGTGCCCAGATGCCAGACTTTCTTGCTGGGTACGACAGTCCACCTCTCCCATGGAGGGGAGGATGCACGGAATGAGTGTGTCCTGTTCCTTCCAGCAATGCTTAACCATTGTTGTCCCCACAAACTAGTTCTGGGAGGGAACAGAATGTGAACAGTAATAGTCTGTTGGCCCAACCATTTCTAACGTGAAGCTTCCATCCCAATTTCATCAACTAAAAAGAGCAAACTCAGCTTCCTTTTGCCCAAGGCCACTTATCATAACATAGGGATGGTGTCACCCTTTTGACAAATCTTCTCTAGACAACTGAGAAAACGCAAAATTCCCTGTTACTACCTTTACCACAGTATCCTTCTCCAGTAATTAAGACAGCAATAGAGAGACTAGTTACTAGAAGAATTACTGAATCATTGCACGTAAGTTGCTTTTGAGTAAAAAACACTTGTGATTTCAAGGCAGATTGAAAGAATGTACCCAAAACTTATTACACAGCTTATTCAATATGGTTCCTTACAGTCTGGCATATCTTCCACTGCTGACACCACACTGCCTCTCAAGTGAATTGCTCCTAGGGGTTCTTCTCCCTGGTGAGGACATGAAATCCAAATGAAATGCAACACTTCTGAAACTGTTCACATGTTAAAATCTGCCTACAGCTCCAGAATGGAAACACAAACACTTGCTGACTTGGTATGTCAGCTGGGAAACCAGGGGATCCTCAGTCTGTGGGTGACATGGAGGGTGGGGGATATGGTAGGGGGAAGACCTGCAAATACATAGGAAATCTCTTTTGGGCTTTGGAATTCAGGATCTGCAGAGTACTTAGCATGTCCTGAAAAAAGGTACAAGGAGAATATAAGCCTTGTGCCAACGGTAACTTTCCTTTTGATGTCACAGTGAATTAAAAAAAAAAAAGATCAGTTAGAAAAAGGGTAGATCTTAGAAGTATTCTTACCAAGCAGCAAGAGCAGATATACCCTCATTTACAAGTTGGTCTCTTATGCACTTGAAGACTGTGACAGTCAAAGAACGGGTGAAGATGCCTTTTGCTGCCTGAGTTTCAAAGAAGCAGTCCCTATAAGCTGACACAGCCCTTTGGGAGGGGATGCCAGGAGCAGGAAAGGCAAGCTGGGAACAGGGAGGTCAGAAACTCCTCAGCGTTGATTCTCCAGTGTGTTTAGGCTGCCTCTGCCAAGGGGGACAGGCACAGCATAAAGCACCTGTATAACCCATAATGGCTCTGCTCCTGCAGCAATGCAGGATAAAATAAACCCTGTGGGCTGAATCTACCCAAATGCCTGCTTTTGGGGGCCAGGTTTTGTCTGTGGCAATGCTCCTTCCTTTCTTAGGGCAGGGTTTGGCCCGTTAGAACCACATAAGAAGTGGAATGCCATGTCTCAGCCTGACACAGAAAATATCTCAGTTATAAACTGCAAAATGACTGTATTGTGTTCATTTGTGCTTATGACCTAGTTCATTTTAATCAAGTGAGAGCACATAGTAATTCTGATTAATCACATATAAGAGGTGAGAGCACAGTGCAGTGTTACCTGGGGGTATGCAAATACTCCATTCAGATATTTCTACAAGGTGTTTGCTCTAAAACAAACAGGAAAATAAATCAAATGTCTCTTACTCCAGCGGGATCATAGTAGTGAAGATATGCAGGGTCGTCTCTTAAAACAAACTTTCTCACTTTCCAGTTCTTCCTCCGATGTCCCTAGGAAAAATTCCAAAACAGGAATGTTGTGAACTGCTTCGGCTGCAAGTACTTACAGTCAGCTTACCCACGTGAGAGAACGGGGAAATACAAAAGGGAAAACCTGAATATTTTGGACAGGAAATACTAATTGGAGTAGGACTTGAATTGGGCTTTTCTGCATCCCACTGTTTTGCACAATAACTGGGCTATCACACTGCTATCACATTGGTTTCCCCCCTAAAGTGGGCCTACAGGAGAGATGGGGAGGGACTTTCTATCAGGAAGTGGAGCGATAGGATGAGGGGTAACGGTTTTAAACTGAAAGATTTAGATGAGATCTCAGGAAGAAATTCTTTGCTGTGAGGGTGGTGAGACACTGGAACAGGTTGCCCAGAGAAGCTGTGGCTGCCCCATCCCTGGAGGGGTTCAAGGCCAGGTTGGATGGAGCTTTGAGCAACCTGGTCTGGTGGGAGGTGTCCCTGCCCAGGGTAGGGGGTTGGAAATTGATGACCTTTAAGGCCCATTCCAACCCAAACCATTCTGTGATTCTATTTTTTGTACAAAGCAGAACAGAAGATAGGAGATTCCCCTAAATACGTCTTGTAGTCTGGTAGCTGGAACATTCACATGAGGTCTGTGAGACCTGGCCTTAAATGCTTGCCAGAAAGCATGGCTGTGAAGTGCCTTGCAGGAAGGTACCTTGAACTATTGGCAACAACGAGCCACAGGTGGTTCTTTCCCTACAAAGAAAACAACAAAAAAGGCTTATCTGGCTCCAGTACCCTGAAAAGGGTTCCTGGCTGAGAAGCTCCAGCAGAAATAACGCCACCTTCCAATATGGATGCAGATGCCTCATTGCCTGTTTTCAAGACTGAAATGATGGGTGAGGAAAATCTAGGTCTGCCAAAATCATTTTCAGCAGAAGCAGTGACACTTCCAAGCAATGATGTACAGCTCACTGAGGATGACCCAGTCCAGACTAATACTGCTAGAAGACTCATGAATCACTTCCTCTCAGCATTTCAAAATACTCGTTTCTCAATCAGCTACGCTGTTGGCAAGGAAGGTCTTACTAATTAGGCAGACGTGAATGTGACAGTGTAAAAGTTAGCAGAAAGATGTATATCTAATCTCTTCTATTGCTTTTGAGTAATCTGGCTGAGCAAGAGAAATACAAGCGAGCACCACCAAAAAGTTCTTAGGCTCCCAAGGAATATTTTAACAGTAGAGGTTCAGACTTCCTTTACAGAGCTGGTGGTCAAACAGCAGAACAGGCTTTCTAGAGAGGTGACTGATAGAAAGCAAGGATATTACCATGATGTTCACCGTATTGCTTAAAATTATATTGGAAAGGAGGTATACAGTTATCTTTCATCTTACAAATGGGACAGGATCAAACACTAGTGACTGAAAGGACTCCTTTGTTCAGGTGTGCTGAAAAATCCTGTGGAAACTGGCAACTGAATCCAGCTGTGTGTCCAGAGGGACTCTGGATTGGCAGCCTTCTTACCTGACTTCAGTTCTGCATTGTACCAATGACTTGTCACATCTCCTGCTATTAAATTAAAACTATTAATTAAATTAAAACTATAAGCTATCATTTCATAGCAAGAGCAATAAAAATGTTGGGCAAAAGCCCTGCTGCTGTGCTGCAACAAGCACTATTTGTGCAAAGGCACGAGGGACAGAGGTGGGATCTGTCAAGTGTGGAGATGGCATAAGCTAGTTTCTCTCTTCTCTAAAGCTTTTAGGTGCAGAAGAGTAATCTTGTATCCACACAACATCATCCCAATGACAGGATGGAACACGTACAATACTCACCTGTTTCAGCAAACATCCTTGTTTGACTACTATGCCTCTGAACTCTTCTTTCAGGACCACATCATCATCACTAGAATTTCCCTCGCAGAAAAACCCACTGTCTGGCTGTATTACCACAAGAGAAAAATCAGAAGTTACACGACTGCTGCACGGTTATATACACATACAAATGAGACTTCTCTCCACCCTCTTTTTGGCACCCAAAAAAATCAACCCTTTTACTGGAAAAATCTCCCAGTGAAGTTGAGGAGATCTCCAAGATACCATGGAAGCATCTCAGTGTGAGATAGGACTACATCAATGCGTCTCAGGGCATCTGAAGACAGCTGGAGCATCAGTGGATATGTCAGTGCCTCCGTTCTCCCTGATTCTTGGGATCACATTTCCTCCATAACGGACAGGCTGCCTTGATCCCATGAGGTTTTTAAAAATGCAGACAGACAGCAGTTTCATATGAACAGCACAGCCAATACACTCCAGGCTGTCCATCCCTGCACCCAACACAGCCTTTCTCTTCCTCTATCCGTTACAACCATCTAGAATTTGGGGAAAAAAAATGCTTCACCTGGGCTGTCTTCTCCAACAACAAGAACTGCCCTTAGTTTATGAAATTTGCCATTTGCTATAGCTGTGATGTTGTGATGTGTACACTGAGCCCAGGCTGTCTCAAGATCCATGCATCACATCCATTCCACACCGGATAAATTGTGAGGCTACTTACTGAAACCTTACACTGTTCAAATGATGTAAATGTAGGGAACCATTTTATGGCTTGGAGTAAACATCTGTGCTGCCTACTTGTATGACAGCAAGTCAGACACTGATCTGCTGTGACCTCCTCACACCACACTGGTATTGAATCAAACTAGAAACAAGCTGAAAGCAAGCAGAGCGTGCGCACACACTGAGTCAGATTTGACAGCTCTGCACAAAAATGGGTTTGTAGCTTGTGCCACTCTGAGAAGCTCCATGATCATGAATTACTCTCTTCCCTTCCACTGAGTCAACAGGGGAACTGATGGCTAAATTCTGGTTTCTGGTGAAAACATCAGGAACAAAGTCCAAGTTAAATAGAACCCAGCTTGATCTCAGCATTCAGTTCACACTTAGAAGGGTGCCAGAAAAAAATATGTTCTGTCCACAAATATTAAAGTGAGCCAGTTCATTCTGAGTACCATGTAGAGAAAGACAATTAATATGGATCTCTCCACTTCTGTACAATCTTTCCTCCATGACTTTAGAAACCTGACAAGAGGCCTGAGAAAAGCAGAGCATCAGCAAGTCTGAGACAGTAAAAAAAAAAAACAAAACAAAACCAAACCAACCAAAACCCCAGAATACAACACTCACAAAGTAATAGTAGGCATCACTGAGATCTAAGAAGGGGGTGTCTGACAGCCCTTCAGCAGCAGCCTTGGATGTATCTCCTGCAGGCTGTAGGTAGCCTTCGCTCAGGAGGGAAGAGGCAAGCATCAGACCTTCTTTTCGATTTCGGATGGAGTTGCTAGACACCAGCCAGTCAATCACAGAGGCGCCTGGTTACAAAGGAACAAATAAAATCAGCCACAAACCAAGACAGACACAAATAAGCCTAGAAATACACAGGCAACAACCCTACTCTATCTATTCGGCGATATCCTGAAAGATGTTTTTAGTGACAACACAGAAAGCTGATTTGGAAAGATACTTAGGTCATCCAGGTACAGCAGATCTGATTGATGGCAGGGGCCAGTACAACGCTTGAACACTGTACCTGAGGGAGAAGAGAGCTGGGACGAAGGGCTGAGCTGGGAAGCCTTGGGGACAGGGACTGGGGAAGGACAAAGGACAGCCAGGCCTGGAGAGGGCAGTCTTCCAGGCTGCTATGTTACTGACACAGTGCTGTCAGAAAGGGGAGACTTTGGACTCTAGCACCCACAGATTTGACTTGGAGCAGGACAGGAATGGCAATATGTCACAGTTTGTTGATGAAAAAAAATTCAGAAAGGATTAATTCTTCTGGACTTAAATGTTTCAGCAAATTTCTACAAAGATCTACTTCAATCTTTCTGGCACTGCTTAAGTTTCTTTCTCATCTCTTGCTTACCATGAACACTTTCAAGCTTCATCCTTTGAGGACCTCCTATGCTGGTCAAGAAAACATATGCCAGGTTTTCTTTTCAAACTTCCCTGTGCTCTACTGAGCTTAGAGTTGTTTTATCTATCTTTAGCCTCTCAGCCCTGTGCCCCCTTTATTGTATGGAAAAGAGGGACAAGAGGACCTCACCTGTAAAGCAGTGGTTGAACACTTTTTTATCTTTTTCCAGCTTCAACTCCTTTATTCCCTTTTCAGGATCTTTCATTGAGAGGTACAAAGCACTGTGCATAAAAAGAACCACAGTTAGCAAATAAAAAACTCTCACCAGTTCATACAATAAGATCATTGTCATTCACGGGGTCTTCGTGTTTTGCTGGCATATTGATCTCTGCAGAGCTATAGCTTGGCTCCTGATAAATTTATGTTGCAAAGCCCAGAGGCCTCACTACGTCACTGTCACAGCTGCAGGAGCAGAGCAGGGAGTGCAGAGATGACTCACCACACCCCCACATGTTGAGAATGGAAGAACTTGTGGCGACTGTAGTGTGAAGAGGGGGAACACCCATTGCTGAGGCACCTTCACAGGGCCCCACAGCCTCGGTGCCAAGAGGGGAGCTCGCTGCTTTGCTACGTTCCCCCAAAGTCCTTGGCTGAGCAGAAAACCTATTGCTGTGACACCTCCAAAGCCTGCATGCTCTCAGAGGCCCTAAATAACGTCAGTGATCCCGGTCTGACTTCCTTTCTCCCACCCACTTTTCACTTGCTCAGAACTCTTAATTCCTTGAAACTCTGGAATGACAAGAGGGGCAAATATTAAATTGGCCTGTTAGGATGATCCTCTGCTGAAGGTCAAATTTAGCTGGATCTTGGCCCTGTGCAGTTTTACTGTCCTCTATGGAGCACTGCTAGCTCATGTGTATCTTGGTATTTATTTACTGATCACAGGCAAAAAATAAGCCGTCCTTCATTTTTTTAAGTACTGACAAACAGATGGCTTCCTGTCTGTGTCCTTCCTCTCTTTTTTTCCCTTTGCCAGTTCCAAGATCTCTGGCAGGCACCACTCTCCCCTCACTAAAACTAGGCTAACATAAGCGTTTCTCTGGAGAGTAGACAAAAAGTTTAAAATATTTTTGCAATAAATTACATATTGTATTAAAACGCCTCCCCTGGAAGAATTACACTTTGGCTGACATCTCCTTTTGTGCTGCAGTGTGCTCAGAAATCTCCCTTACCAGCAAAATCCTTTGATAAATAAGCATGTTTTGTTATTAAAAATGATCTTCTCAGTTCTGATTGCTAGCTCATTTCTGCCACATTGTGTGGTCTGAAACTGTTAGTCATGCAGAAAGGACTCCGAGGAAAACCAGAGAGGCAGCATGGACAGACATGCTCATAGCTCTTCCAGACTGAGGTTACGTATCTGGCACACTGCCTGAGGATGGAAGTGAACGGGGGAGAAGAGCTAGGAGAACAAACCTCAGGTTGATTGTTTCAGGCAGTCTGATAGACTTTCTTGTGGATTTTCTAGCAAACCTTTGGCCTCCGTCTATGCAACTAATTGCCTTCTTTATATCCCGGACCCAGGCATCTCTCTCCTCCAGGTAGGAAGCTTGAAAAAAGTGGTCCTGCTGCTTGGCTGCAGTGAGCTTGAAGACAAACTGGAACGATAAATGATGTTTTATAGAAGTTACTTTAGTGTAGCCAGTTGATTAACCCAGTCCCACCACGACATACAGCCTACCTGTGCCTAAGGGACTATGGAAAGTGCCTTACACCCACAGTTAAAGCTAAAAGAACACCGAAGAAAAACATGAACAGGCAGAGAAGGTAGCTCACTCCTTTTGTGATTTCAGTTATATCAGTGCTGCTGATTTTTAACTTTTGCTGGGAAGTTCAACACAGCTGAAAGGCTGAAGTGCCCAGCCCCTGCAGGCTTACAGTGGGTGTAAGTGTCTTAACACTTAGAGGTGTGGTCAGTGTGAAGGAGTCAAAAAAACCCCACATGGTGTTGCTCAGCTCCTGATTCACAAGGGGAGAAAAGGTCACAGTCACACTGGAGAGCAGCTGAGCACATTTGCAACCTTGAAGGGCCTGGTATGGAGATGATACATCCAACCTTTGGCTATACCTTATGACCATTACCTATGTAAACACACTAGCAAGAATGGAAAGATTGGATTTCCCCAAAATTAGAAAAGCTCTTTTGAAAGTAGTTCTAAGCAGACAAAAATAACACCAACCTGAAAAAAAAAAAAACCACAACACAAAGTTCACACAGTTTGATCTCAGTAATCTTTTGAATGGAAAATCTGGATCTAATTACTCAGGGAAGAGGGTTTCCACTTCCTCTAAAATATAGTTCCCCATAAGCGGAACTGTAATTTGTTCCATAGTTGTATCTGTATCACAGATGTTCTGACACAGCAGGCATCTAAAAATGACAGGCAATCATTTTCAGCAAGCAAAAATCAGCAAGCAAACTGCATGGCTTTATGAGGGCAAGTAAAGCAGAGACAATCATCAAAGAGCAGAGCGCGGTGAATCTACAGCAACGAAATCAAAACACTGAATGAGTCTCCTGAAGCCCACACTTGTCAATGGCACGTTTCTGAATGTCTCCAACATGCATCTTCCAGGCTGTCAATGGGAAGAACTCTGACACCCTGGCAATTGTGCAGAAGCCCCACTGACTTTCATGGAAGAGAGATTTCAAACTTAAAAAGCAGTGGGTCCTCAGAAATCCATTTCAGACAGAAAAGTAACAATTTCTCATCTGACACTGTTCATATTTCCATCAACACGCACCTTTTCTATTATTCAGTGAAGAGCTACATCCTTAAAAATCAATGTACAGTGCATATGAAAAGCAGACAGATCTCTCTGAATCTCAATATCCACGAGTCATGTTTAACACACCAGATTAACAAAATGAAATAGCAAAGCATTAAAGCAAGCTTTTACCGAAGGAATAATCAGCACTCAAAGTCAAAAAGCAGAGAAGCAATGCTACTGAAATGCTAAAGAGGAGTTTTCATTTCCAGTACCCAGAGGAGACTTGGAAAGCTCTTTTTCTTAACATTAGCTTTTAGAAAGCTAGGACACTAAACTTGACATCCAAGCATCCTCTGAAATTGGTGAAGGAGTCTCCAATCCTAGAAGCAACCAAGACTTCCTCAGATGTTGCCTATCAATTTGTGCTTTTGAGAAAATTAGACCATTAGACTGAATTAAACACCAACTTTTTAAATATTTTAAGTTAGGGCAAATTAATCTGACCATGAGCAACCATACATGATAATGTTATCCACAGGAAAGCCATGGGGAAAACAGAGAAAGCACAAGTATAGCAGAATTAACATCACATTAAGCAATGATCAAACTTCACATCAGGAACAGCACACTTTGAAATAAAATCTCAAAATATGCACTTGCAGCCTCTTCTGAACAGGCTGTATCTGTTTAACGAATCCAGGATTGCGTCCTTTCCTCTCAGCACCTGCTTTTTGCAATTGATTTAGTAAACAAAGTCTATTGGTCATGTGCCCTGAGGTTTCAAGGTAGCAGACATACCACCCAATTCAAAAAGCTGAAATCTAACCAGATGGATATAAAAGTCTGCTCATGGCTCAACAGTCCCTGCTCCAAACTGGGCCCAAGTGAGTGAGACTGGACTTAAAACCGGCCTCGTGAGAATTATCCCACTTCTCACCCTACAGAACTCCTGTCTTAAAAACACACTTTCATTCCTAGCCATATAAAATAAATGGATACAAACCACTAAGAACGAGAATAATTCCCGTAAGAGGAAGAACTGTATGTTTTGACACCTAACCAGTGAGAGGGCAAAATGGAGTGCAGAGGCTTCGGATTCAGCAGTAAAGTTGTAAGACACAAAAATCAAAATACTACATTTTCAAGGAATAAATGTAGAAATTTAGCTTTAATCATATTGGGCAGTAACTACTTGTAAGAACAATCCCAGTGACGGTGTTGCTCATATGGATGAGCATGTTGCAGTTTTGACTATTTGAACAGTGCAATTTTTAAGGGAAAATACGCCTCCAGGGCGGTTGGGCTATGGACTTGCTGAACGATCTCACCACTTCAACAAGGAGGATCTCATCTTGCACCTGCTGACGATGTTTCTTTCACTTCCACTGACTTCAGCAAACTCTGCATCAGATCTTACTTATGAAAAGGTGTCTCAACCCCCAGGTCTGAGATCCTTCTTTTTTTTTTTCCTCTATTCTCCCTCAGAAAAGACCACAGCAACTAAACCGAAACAGAATGTAAAACTCATTGTCTAAACTAATGATGTAAAATGAAGCATAATGTAAAACTTGATCCTCAAAGACTTCATCACCCTTCAATACAGATGCAATGCATCTTCTGCAAACTGGTACATCCTCAAGCAACCCTTTGGGCAGGTGATGATCTCTCTCGCTCTGCCTTCAGCAGGCATTGGGTATTTCAGACCTCTCTGCCTGTTTTACAGAAGGCACATACACTAGTGAATTATCTTCGTTAGTGTTAAATGTGTTACTGACATTTCCAAGCAACTAGTGTAGACCAATAGTGATGCCAGTGTCTCTGTGGGAGTTTTAAAAAAAAACAATCAAACAAAAAATAGAATCACAGATTGGTTCGGGTTGGAAGGGACCTTAAAGATCATGCAGTTCCAACCCCCCCTGCCCTGGGCAGGGACACCTTCCACCATACCATGTTGCTCAAAGCCCCCTCCAACCTGGCCTTGAACCCCTCCAGGGATGGGGCAGCCACAGCTTCTCTGGGCAACCTGGGCCACACTCTCACCACCCTCACAGGAAAGAATTTCTTCCTGAGATCTCATCTCAATCTCCCCTCTTTCAGTTTAAAACCATTACCCCTTGTCCTGGCTCCCTTCTCTGATCAAAAGTCCCTCCCCAGCTTTCCTATAGGCCCCCTTTTTAGGTACTGGAAGGGGCTACAGGGTCTCCTGGGAGCCTTCTCTTCTCCAGGCTGAACAACCCCAAACAAATCCCAACACAGCCGTTTGTGATGAGAAAAAAACCCTTAATTTCTACCATTATAATGTAAGATCTGTGATACGTTTGGACATAGTACCCTTCTCCCCATGCATTACACTTCATGTACAGAGTAAACATGAAGAGTGTTGTGCTGAGACTTTTTAATTACATTACGTAGAAACGTGGCTTCAAATCAGCAGAATTAGAACCAAATGCATGCAGATAGACTTAGCTTCTGTTCCTTTCTTTGGTTATTTAATATTCCTGGTCTGTGCTCTACTCCCTACATGTAATTATGCTTCACTTTTGTTAGTCGTGGTTGACAGAAGATGTCAAGTTGAGCTCATCATAGAATCATAGAATTGCCCAGGCCGGAAGGGACCTCCAAAGGTCATCTAGTCCAACCTCCCCGCAGTCAGCAGGGACACTCCCAACTAGACCAGGTTGCCCAGGGCTTCATTGAGCCTCACCTTGAATATCTCCAGGGATGGGGCCTCAACCACCTCCCTGGGCAACCTGTTCCAGTGATCCACCACCCTCACAGTAAAGAACTTTCTCCTTGCTGTAACATGGGGCTCCCAGCCAGTGCCCGGGCACTGCAGTGCCACACAGCCACGCTGGTTGAAGCAGAAGGTCTGATCAGAAGCTGCAGGGGCTAAGGAGTCAGGTTCGCCCAGCCATGCCACAGGGTGGCTCAGGCAGGAGCTGTTAGCATTACGGAAGAGTAAATGGCCTTGACAAGCAGTCAATCTCAAACCCTTCTGAACCAGTTGGACAATCATCCTTGCCAGCTCAGGAATCAAAAACATCTGTGGGGTGGGAATGCATGACCATGCAATTCTCCTTCCAGGCATGACAATACAGTCTCTTGTGGACAACTCCTAGTACCTAGAAAGAGCTACGAAGAGCAGAGAGCTCTTGATGATCCTGCTTTGGGTGGGATTTCCAAGGTAACGGTCCTCTAAAACCTCCTGTTCCCAGGAGAAGCAGCCGTCTACAACTTCTTTGACTCAGCACAGGATTAACAGCAATCTTTATTCTCTGCCCCATGCTTTTATTGTATGGCCTCAAAGAGAGCTTTAAGTTTAGAGCCCTTACTTGTTAAACAGATGTAATTCTAACAAGACTCCATAAGAATCAACTTTTTTTTTGCCTCCATATAAATATTGTGTCTGCACAAAGAAGAAAAAAAAAATAAAATTAAAAGAAAGAAAGAAGTTGAAGAAAGAAAAGAAGAAAGGAAGGGAAAAGGAAAGTCAGCAAGTCCAAACCTGACACCAGGGACCCTGACTCCACTTGCCACAAAACCTAAGGGCAGGTGTAATTCTCCTCACTTTACTCACATGAGAAAGTGAAGCTTGCTCTCTCATGCTTTCTCTTTTTCTAGTGCTCTCAGAGGCTTCTATCTTTAGTCAGGCATCCTTACAGTAAATGTCTTTAAACTGTAATTGGATAGTGTTCCAGATTCTGGGGGACCCCTTTATCAGAGGAATTCTTGGGGTTATAATGCCTATTTGATGAAATTAAGAGTTGCTGAAATAACAAGTGACTGCCTAAATATATGACTCTTTGCTCACATCCCCTCTTGAAGTATCCTGATTTTTTCCCAAGCAGTCACACCTTTCAAACACTACACAAGTCCAAGCCTGCTTGTGACCTTCCAAAACAAGAGAGAATCTCCACTAGGATAAGTGTAAGGAATTTGTAACCACCACCCTTGTGCTCCTTCAGTGCCTCCAGGAGTATAAGTCTACTGTCAATTATTGTTATAAAAAAAGTACTTACCATTCTTTTGCCAAAATCTTGACATGGGCTGTTAATAGAGCTTCCTTTCAGTGGGATCATCCCTTTGGGGCTGTTGTCAGCCTTCCGCTTGTAGAATTCAATTCCATCATCTAAGAGCACGACCCACATCGGCTTCCAGGTATTAAACATGCTGCCCTGCATCAACAAACCATTGTGTATATTATGTTCGATAAATAATTTTTCACATGATATCCACTGAAGATGTGACCTTCTAGGGAGCGTGTGACTGACACTAAAATAACTATAGTTAGTGTCTCAAGGGGAACATACCACAACCGCACCCATCTTACTATGCAGTTAAAAAACACTGTTATTATTCTGACTACCATTAATTTCCCCTTGTAGTCACTGGAGCTATAAGTTTCTCCAAAATTGCATTGAATGCCCCAGCAGGTGTTTCTTTTCAGTATCAGTCCCAACCATTGTCTTCAAGATGATATAGTGGTAGTATTACAAATAATCCTCAGAATTTCTGGGTGTGAACTGGCACGTTAGGACTGCCTCTTTAACTTGGGCATCCTGTGCTGTATTTGGGACTTGATGCTACAACACAGTCAGTCGTTGAAGCTTGCCTGTGTGATAGGAAAGCACACATCTCAGAGGATTTGTAGACATGGAGGAAGAAACTGTAAGAGTAATTAATAGTTTAAGGGCCTGAGGTTGTAGATCTCCAGCTGCTCTTGAGAGGAATTGAGGTGCTTCATTTCATCTTTTAAAGCTTTTACTTCTCATTCCAGAAACACAGCTGTTAGATGCAAGAAATACAGAGATAAAGACATGGCCAGAGCCCACATTCAGTGAAACACACAGCACAATTCTCAGGGACTCACTTGTGCACTTGTATTGTCCACGATTAACTCCTAGAATTACTAAGACTGTTGTACTCTAGCTAGATGATCTCTCCGGTCCTGTCTGCAACCAGCTTCAAAAGGGGTCATTAATCCCAGATACTCAAATGACTTACTGCTCAGCTAAATGAGTGTTCAGATATGCTGAATACCAACAGTTCCTCTGAAGAGTTAACAAAGCACAACCAACACTTGTGGGCCCCGAATCAGAAGCTGTCCTTCAAAAACCTTAGCTTCCTCTGCTCTGTTACAAAGAGAGACCTAAATTTATAAACACAGCCCCTACAACTCCATCCACAGCATCCCTGTCCTCTTCTAACCACAGTGGCCAAACTGTGCTAACGCTGCAGACAGAAGCAAGGCAGCCACTGTTGTGTTGCACAAATGGCTTGGTTTGATTTGTTAAACCTGAGACCTGGGCAGCGTTAGCTGTATTTGCATTTTGTATTTCTGCAGAAGTGAACGGGACAGAAACATGCTGAGTCTTCCTTCTTTTCTTTCCTATTCCCCAAATGAACCCTTTGTCTCTCGTATCCTTTCTGGTTCCCCTACCTTCCAAGAAAGGCCTTTTGCACTCGGAATCGGACCTTATGTTCAGTTACAGGGTGGGGAGGGAAAACTGTCAGCAGAGATCTTACTAAGAGCAGGAGCTGCAGCCCTCACTGGAAGCAGAAGGTGCCCCACAAACGAATGCCACCTTCCAAAGGAAAGTCACTGCCCTGGGTGTTCTCTGGAAACCCCACTAAACAGGGAACTACAAAAAAGAGCCTCATTTGGGTACCACATATGGGTTGACTGCTGGTTTTTTGGTTTTGGGGGTTTTTTTTGAATAAGCCACAAGAATTTACCATTTTTTGAGAGCCCAAATTGACCCACTGGGTGATTTTTCTGCTAAGAAATCAATTAAGATGATGAGCCAACACAAGAGTTGTTGCAATTTCCCTTTTTTTTTTTTGTGCATTTACCACAGGTTACAGCACTTCTGCTCATAAACAGACAAATCTAGTAATTCCAGAAGACCAAATTCTGACAATGGAAGCCACTGAGGAGCAGAGTTAGACTAGCAGCCTCAGATCACACCATCAGCAAACCCAAACACGGTCACACTGTTCTCCCTTAAAACATCTCATGAAAGACAAGCAAGCAGGATGCTGGATTTGATTTTCCTGGACTAAAAATCAAATTGTCACACCTACTCCAAAGACTGCAGATACAGACAGGTGCTCCTTGAACCGCTCTCTGAAATCATTAGCCACTTTAAAAACACATGCAGCTTCCCTTTGGTAGAACAACTTATTTTTTTAACATCTGCAGGGCTACAAGATTAGAAAATTTGCTGTTTCCTATGCTCAGATGACGACACAAAGGCCCCAAAATATACAAACAGAAGTTTAAGCTGACCTAAATCAGCACTGAAGTCTGAACCCACATTTACAGGAGGCCACATTGTTCCAGCTAAAGCACTGAACCCCAAGCACAGCAGAGGTTCCCCAGCCCCCTATAAAGACCAAGAGGAGAAACTCAGTGATAAATGGCCTTCACTGCCTGCAAAGCGAGCTGTGGCTGCACGGATGACTCCTTTGGGAGGTCAAGTTCTTGGTTTCACTTTACAGGCGTGAGAGGAGGAGAGCACTTAATTAGCAGGTAAGGTTAATCATGAGCATGCTCATCCTAGCTGGAAGCTAGGTGGTGGAGTTCACAGCAGCCTCACTGATATATCAAACAGCTGGTACCAGTCTGATCTGTGTCTTCTGCTCCTTTTGCCCTCCAGCCCTTTCTCTAGCACACTGCTGCTCCTCACCACCAGCACAAGCTCACTTCTGCAAGGACAGAGCCATTTACGAGTCTGGCTGTTCTAGGAAATTGGCACAATTTCCACTTCCCTGTTACCATTGCAACAGCACTCAGCTGCAACAACAGAGAGACTTTTTGGGGACCCAAGACCCATAGGTATGTGAGGGACATCTGTGTGCATCTTTTCCCCAGCATACCCAGCCAGGCAGACAATTTGGGATTGTCACAGTGTCTAAGTTTCCAGCCATTCCCCTGTCAGGGAGGAGCACAGATTGTGAGCCACTTGTTCCACATATCAGGCCATTGGAACTGGAGATCTGCAATCTGCACAGCACGAATTTGGCTCTCTCCTTCCTTGTGACAGCATGACCATAACTTTGTGATTACTTTATGAACTTATTTCCTTTCAGTGTCAGTGGAAATAAGACTGAGGAGTGGTCTCTTCACAACAGTGGTGCTAGATCAGAGATCACTCCAGCCAGCTGTTCTAATGGGTGAAATTCTCATTTTGATGAGCAGAGACCCCACATGAGAGAGCTCCTCTCTTGCTCCAGGACTGACACTTGCTCCAGGACTGTTTAGTCAGGTTGCTTTAAGCCAGGCTGATCTTGCAGGATTTAAACAGCAGTCAAGGCCTTATCCTATGGGCTCTGCCACAAGAGAATCCTACGCTGCTGCTGGGTAGTGACTAAAGAAGGGAAGTGCCCATGGCCCCACACGCTGTCTCTAGGCCAAAGTGATCTGACCTCTTTAATCTCACTGTGCTTCCCTGATGTTTAACTCAGTGATCAAGCGCTATCGAGTAGGCTGTGGCCATTCCAAGCTGTTACCTGTTTTGCCAAGCTTCCACTAAGGGCGTTAGGTTACTTAATAAAAATACAAACCTTTTGATCCAAAGGTGCATGTGAGATATGTGCAACATGCCTTACGTAGTATTCTGCCAAGATCTAACCGATAGCAAGTACCTCTGTCATCTCTAACACCACATTGTTTTACCGCTCCACGAATTCTGTCCACTTGCCAGGAAAAAAACTATTCTTTTTTAATAACTGAAACCCAAGAGTGTTTCTTCACACCTCCCCAAGCTGTTTGGAGCTAGCTCCCTCCTCCTCTCAGTCCCAAACTGCCCACTTACCTTCTTAACTAAGTAGCCCTCCCTTATGCGCATCGGTTCTCGCTCCATGTTCTCCGGCAATCCCGCTCTAGGGTCTCTCAGAGCTGGCAGCAAAGTTCCTCTGGCAGCAAAGTCTGTAGGCTGGCTTTTCTACAGCACAGCTGTGTCACTTTCACAAGTTCCTCTGCCTGCTAATCACATGAAAACAAGCCCATTTCCTCTTACGGAGAGAGATAGAGAAATGCAGAAGCACGTGTGTATTTATAGTTGCCTCTGACAGAACAGGCAGCAGCCTGACAGAATGCTCAACTCTATCAAACACGGCCAGCCTGGATGACAGAGTCCAGGGAAATTAAATAAGCATTTTAGTGCCCAGTCCCAAGAAATAAGGCCCGCTCCGCAAACATGTGAGCTTTAGCAAAACAACAAACAGGGCGGCAGACTGTGTTGCTGCTTGGTGCATGCCCAAAGGATCTCAAGAGACGGGTTTCCAACTCACCAGGTTCTGTCACTGTGTCACTTCATCCCATCTTCAAAGTCCACGTCCCGGTGGGTGAGCACACGGGGTCCTGCAGGAGCAGGAGGGCCCTGGCTTGGTAATGATGATGCGCCCTCTGCTGATACAAGAAATTTATTTATCGGACTCGAACAGCTTTTGGAGTTTGATGTTGAGGCCTCCCAAAGAGATCAGCTGTCAGACAGGCACAAATGGATTAAACCAGAGCATGACAAAGCCACTTTCTGTGAGCACCTTTTACTTGCTGCACAACTCATTTGGATGTATTTGGTGAAAGATAAGGCAAAATGATAATTTTCCAAAAATTGATATATACCAGAGTCACCACCTGCCTTCCCCATACAGAAGGCAATAAGGAGGCTGCTGCATTGCCAAGAACAAAGTTTTCTCCCACACACAAGACTTTTACATTTGAGCACATTCAGGTAAGGACAAAGCCCAGGGTCTGTCACCTCTGCCACTTCTAAAGATCCCAAAACAGGGATTTTTTCCACAGAAATCCCTGCTCTCCATTTGACTCTCTGTCTCAGCCTTTACTCAGAAGTACAGAGAAGTCTGCCAAGGCCTGTGATAGAGGACCAGAAGGTCAGAAGAGCCCTTAGAGGTTTTCTTTACCCGTTCCTCACTGATGCCTAATTTAGGGTTCTCCCACAAATGAGATTCCAATCTTTCCTTGGTTACCTGTATTAGTGCTTCACTATCCCAACTGCTGAACGTTTCTCCTCACTGTCTGAACTGAAATTTTCTTTTCCAGACCTTTCTGAATTAGCTGCTGTTCAAATGATCCCTTCCATCCCATCTTCAGGCAGAGCACCTGTGTGTGCCAGTGATCTCAGGCTGTACGCTTTGCACTGCATTCCGCTCAAAGCATACCTTTTTATGATGCTTTTACACATTTTTAGGTTGCTCAGATTTTGTTTCTAGAACCTACACAGCCTCAGTATGTTGCTCCTTTGCTCATGTAAATCACGCTATTGTGAGGGATCAGATTGCTATTAAAGGCCCTGGTGGCTGACCAAGCCCATCACCCATCAGGCAGTTAGCAAATCAAAGATTGAATACACACTTTCCAGTTCTCTGGCTGTCAAGTGTACTTGACATCCAGCCAACAGATTCTAAAATTATTAGAGCTAGAAACTCACACGTAGCTAATTGTCGTGGTTTCAGCCAAAATCACCGCAACCGGACCGGAATGAATTGAAGATGCATTCCAGAGCTGAGATGATCTAACTGAATTTCATAGAATCATAGAATCACAGAATGGTTCAGCTTGGAAGGGACCTTAAAGGTCATCCAGTTCCAACCCCCCTGACAGTCCCTGGGCAGGGACACCTCCCACCAGACCAGGTTGCTCCAAGCCCCCTCCAACCTGGCCTTGAACCCCTCCAGGGATGGGGCAGCCACAGCTTCTCTGGGCAACCTGGGCCAGGCTCTCACCACCCTCACAGCAAAGAATTTCTTCCTGAGATCTCATCTAAATCTCCCCTCTTTCAGTTTAAAACCATTACCCCTCGTCCTATCACTGCAATCCCTGATAAAAAGTCAGATTAAATCTGCTCATTAAGCACAATTTGGCCTTTTCCCTAGTACCATATTTATAAACATGACCTTGAAACTTTCTCTGAAAGTATCTGCTCCACATGGGGAGAAAAAGCTTGCTGACCACCTTATTCAAAGTGGTATCTGAGTTATATTTCTGTGAAGGCTCCCTTCACTTCTCATAGGCCTTAAAACGATGCTTGATGGACACAGGAGATTGTTGACTCCTTCTGCATAATGTCTTTTTTTGATCAGTAATTCCTTTTGCTTTAAGGAGGTGAATTATTTCCTTCTATTCCCTTTCATTCCAGTGGTTCCACCTTTGGGAAAAGGTACACTTTTTTTTTTTTTTCTCTCTGATTGGATAACCCAAAAATACAGGTCATGGACAATGATAACTCAAATTAAATACCTTTCACTGTATGGCTGGAAGCCAAACTATCCTTTTATTAGCTGCCTTGAGGCCATAGTGCCATAGAACCTGGGGCAAGCGTTAGAGATGAAGAACTGTCTCTACCTTGCTGCCTCTCAGGCCTGAGGAAAGGAAACCCAAGCTGGTAGGGCTTATGGGGAACAAAGACAAAAGAATCTGCCAGCATTTTTCTCCCTGCAGACAGCTTTTTCACAGGTTTTCCTCTCAGCAGCCCAGCTCCTGCTGGTGCAGTGTTTGTGCTGAGTCAGGATGGCCCTGCACAATGAATTGATGATCTGTCCACGGACAGATCCTCTTCAACAGAGCATCTATATGACCTTATACTAAAAAGTGGTTTAATGCGAACAGAAAAGGATGCTGACTCCACAATTTAGCAAAAGCTCAGTTACTCATTAACCTGCATGAACGGCCCTTGGAAGTGTGAAATGCAATTCTAGATACAGTGGCACCAAGCCAACGACTCCAGAATTTACCATTAACTACTTAAGCAACTCAGTGTCAAAGCATAAAATTACCTCCATCCAGTATTAGCTGGAAGCAACTACTTTTATAACACTTCTTTTTGCTATATTCTTTCTATTTCATCTTCAAAACTCAGCTATTCTTTTGCCCTTATACCTTACGTGTCTGGAATGATCCTTCTCTGTTAACACTGAGGTTTGATTTCATTTATCGAGTACCACCTCAGGGGAATCAGCACTTCATCTTTCCCCAGGCAGAAATGTCCTGATCAGCCTAATTATTCATATGAAGCAAAATGGTCCTTAACCATACGGGTGCCACGGCAGGAGTGAGGGACAGCCTGGACTGCTGACACACGCCTGTCTCTGTGCAGCTATTTATTCCCAAAGAGCAGCACTGGGCATAAGAGAGAGGAAGAGCTGTGTTTCTTCTCAGTCTCCACAGAGGGGAGGATAGAACTTTGTCTGGCAGAAAGTAACCTGCACTGTGGAAACCTGCTATAACTTACCCTGTTCTCCAAATATCTCCCGAAGCAGGTAAAAATGCATGATGCTGGATTAGCAACATCTGGCAGCATCTTGGCTCGGTTTACTGGTGAGTGATCTGCTCTTGTACGGGAGATCGTGCTGCTGTATTTCCTCAGAAAAATCTGGTTTCTTTCTGCTGCTTCAGGGTCTGCTCCTGCAAGCATTAAAAAAAAAAAAAAAAAAAGTAATCTGTCTGAGCAAGGGATCTAACTGAGACTGGTGGGCATTTATACCAAAAATCAGAGCTGTATCTTTGCAAATAAGTGTCAGCTGCAAGAAAGAGAGGCGGTTTCTCAGCTTGTTACATCAGCTTCAGTGCCCTCTCTCTACTAGCTCTTGCACAGCCCTTCTTCAAACATGTTTGCTGCCTTGTAAATGCCATAAGCCCACTCCATCTGTAACAGAGCATGTGAATTCTCCATAAATATGCATCTCTCCAGCAAATCAAGCTGCATTTCCAGGGGAAACTAAATTAAATGCTATATTTTCAAAGTGACAGTCTGCATGGAAAATATAACATCCACATGTGGTTTGCAAAGGTGACAAGGACTCAGTCTGGCTTATGGTTCAGTAAAACCCTTTCTCACTTCTGCACAGAGGTCTCCGAAGAATTACAGTATTGCATGGAGAGCTGACAGGTGTAAGTCTCAGCACAATTCACTCCATACGGAATCACATATACGGCTATTTTTAGTGAATGAGAGATTGTGGCTTTACATCCTATTCTCAACGAGAAACCCAAAACCGGAACGTTTCCAAATTTAGCACCGTGTTAAGAAAGTAATCAAAGAGCGGCAAGCACGAAAAGTCTAGTACAGGTATTGTCCATGTTACCTTGGAACCTAAACGCTGTGGGTTGGCTGTCATAAATAAACCACCTTGATTCTGACCTCAAGGCCTGCACAAATGGCAACACTGAAAAGCTTATCCAGTTGACATATACCATGCATAGAGTGATCACATGAAGTGGATGCAGTCAAGAGACACCCAACGGACATCTCCAGAACATTTTCTAGACAAAATGGATCAGCAAAAAGCATAGGCCATGGCTTAGCTGCATATTAGCTCTGACTTCTCATCCAACCTCACCTGTGACATACTCACCTCTCCCCTACAGCATCTCCCCATCAGTGTAACCTCCAGGTGATGCAGCTGCAGCAGGGAAGGCCTAGGCATGAGAGAGAGGTCTTGGAGGTTGAAGCTGTGGTGTGAGAAGACTTCCCTAGTTCTGGGAAGAAAAAGAGAGATGAGAATAGCTGAGCATGCTGGCTGCACCTCACTTGAGGGAGCTCACCACTCCCTTAAAAAGCACTAAGGGATTCTCCAGGGCACAAGGGAGTGCTGCAAAGATCTTGCCTTAAAGGAAGGGAATTAGCTAGGAAGCCTCAGATGCCAGGGTAGATCTGAAGGACTGGAGAAAAAAAAAAAAAAAAAAAAGACAGTTTTCCACTTTACAAAGACATTAATGATTCCAACCCCTCAAATGTAGGTGTAGAGAATGGAGGAACGGCCACAGATTTATTGCTTTGTTCCTGGAAGTAAATTACTGCTGTGGCTTAGAAGAAATGGGACCTTGTCCTAAGTCTACGATGATCTATTTAGCTTCACTTGTAAAGGTCAGCGTATTTGCTCTGTACTCCTGGCAGAACCACACTGCCTCCTTCGTCCTGCAGGTATTTTGCTCCCTGCAGAATATAAGGCAATTAATATCAGGTAACCAGGCCTGGGGGCCACAACCCACAGAAAATCCCCACAGGGACTGGAAGGGCACGGGTTTCTCTAACCATCCCACCACCCTGAGTGAGGGAGCAGCCCACAGCATCAGGCACCTCCATGGGGATGGGATGAAATCAAACCGGGTAGTCACCCTGCACGTCAGGATGAACACCACCCATGGCTGGATACATCTGTGGCAGAGCTGGAGACCAGCACTCCCAAGCATAACTCAGGAAGAGAGTGAAGGCCCAGGGCTAAGCTGAAATAGGGCCCATGGGCAGAGACGCGGGTGGAGGCTCCTGGTGAGGCTGGTCAGGGCCATTAAGGTGGGCAGCAACAAAACTAACCTCCCCGAAAGACTTAGCAAAGGCTATGCCTCCCCTGATCTACACTGATCAAGAGCATGTGGTAGGATCAGGTAAGTAGATGCACTAACAGCATGTGAAGTTATCAGATCAATACAAAGAAAGGCAATGCCCACATTTAAAATTGCTTCTTCATAAATGTTCTACTCCCATCGTGTTTCACTTCCATGCGGTAAAACAATTACTCAGCCTACATATCTGTGACCCACAATATGATGCTTTTTTAGTCCTCCCTCACGTTTGCCACTTTATGTCACAGTGGTCTGGAATAAAGTCACTGCCTGTGCTGTGTCCAGAGAAAGATGATCATTCAGGCAGAAATAACACGGGGGGAAAAAAAGCTCGTTATAGATTTGACCTCTCATGTACTTGGGAAACTAATTGTAATCAATGTCTTCAGCTACACACAATTTACTACAACATGATATGTCTGGCCCAGGAGGCGAGTAAAACTGATCCCTGGCAATGGCCATTATTCTTCACACTCCACTTTAAGTGACACTATCGGATTCCTCATGTGTAAGGCCTCTGATTCCGTACCAAATTACATTTAAAATCCCAGAAGCGGGGATCGCTGCAAGCAAACCTTTCAACAAGCCACAAAATGCAGCAGTTTCAGCAGAATATAAGGAAAACGAGAATTCTCTTGCAATGAGCAAACAAGATAGGGAGAAATGCACATGGGGTCTTCTTTTGTGGAGCCACGCTGTTATGAGATACGTGTCTATACACAGCAGCTGCTTCCTCATCTGAAGCCCTGTATCTTGTCTGATTGTCTGATAACTTTCAAGATATTTTCAAGACCATTCACTGTTGACCTCAACAAGGGTTGGAGAATCCATTCTACCTACTTTTGGTGTCTGCTTTTGAGGACCTTTAAAGTCAGTGATGATCTTTGCAACAAATTGAGGTCAGTGTATGATTCACGGTCAATAGTTGGTTCCCCCCAATGGCATGAGAAGCTCCTGAAACTTACTACTTTATTAGCTGCAACTACTCTTTGATTAGGTGCCCTTTGGCAACATAAGAGTCTCGGATGACTCACCAAGCCCAAAGGATTCTTCTCATACATTAATATTGATAATGTCACTACCTCATCATACACAGGGAGTTGTTTTATTTTTCTTTAATGGCCTTTGTTTCACTCTTGACTGTTCAGTGGGAGAAGCAATGACTGCACTGCATAACAACTTCCCTATAGGGGAAAGAACTTCCCTATAGAGGAGCCCCTGCTGACAGTGACTGCTATCGAAGGTGGGATGTTACTCACAAAACTAATCACACACACAGTTCTGAGATGCAGGGATCATGCCCTGCCTTTATCTTTGTGGAAATCTTGCTGGCTGGACACATTATGAAGCCTATTCTTAGCTGGGTACCTAATCAAGGCCAAAAAAGTAGGATTATTTTTTTTTCAGAGGTTAAATTTTCAGCAGAATGTATTCTTTTGCTTAACGTTCATAATAAAATTAATTCACTAATTAACTTGTGCGCACAAAGAAATGCCGCTGAGTAATGCTCTGTCTTCCATTTGGCTTAGCAATCCTACATTTTACCACCATGTGTACATCCCAGCTTTAGAAAAACAAAGAAAAGGTCAGGTCCAAAGCAAGATGTAGCTGTGAAATTCTCCTAACAAAATCATGAACTCTGCCATTATGTCCAATCACAAAAAGATATATTTGTGGCCCAAGTCCTGTGTCAGCCATAAGAATGTTGCAGTTTTAACAGCAAACAAGAACAAATGCAAAAGAATGGAAAGAATCCTGCTCCTGGGTTAAAAGCAATCTCAACTGTTAGACTGGAATGAGAACTGCGGAGACTTGAATTATGGTGCAATTTCTAGGTTCAAAGATCTTTCTGCCAGAAGAAATGGTATCAGTCATAGGTAAATAGTAGTATTAGGCTTAAAGAAATGAGATTCTGATCTGATACTGCAATTACACTAATGCAGTCTTCTCCATTAAATAAGATTGTGACAAGGTGATTAAAAAAAATAAAATCCGAGCAGAAAACCTGAACCAAATATTGATGTTGACATTTGACCTCATTATGCAAGAAACTGACCCTTAGCCTAAGCACGGTGGCTCACAAAAACCTTTCACTATACAGGGAGGAGTAACACAAACTCACGTCTTTACTCTCCACCCTCCTCTTCCTCTCAGGCAGCTCTGGCTCCTGAGAGCCACTACGAAGATGCTTCAGCCCACCCCAGAGGGCTCAGTCAGACGGTGGGAGCAATGACCTGGATGAGGGGACAGAGTGTACCCTCAGCAAGTTCGTTGATGACACAAACCTGCAAGGAGTGGCTGACACACTAGAAGGCTGTACTGCCACTCAGGGAAGACCTGGACAGGCTGGAGAGCTGGGTGGAGAGGAACCTAACGAAGTTCAACAAGAACAAGCGTAGGGTCCTGCACCTAGGGAAGAATAACCCCATGCACCAGTAGAGAGTTGACCTCTGCAGCTCTGCAGAGAGGGACCTGGGAATCCTGGTGGTCAACAAGTTGACCATGAGCCAGCAAAGTGCCCTTGTGGCCAAGAAGGCCAATGGTCTCCTGGGGTGCATTAAAAAGAGTATAGCCAGCAGGTCAAGGGAGGTCATCCTCCCTCTCTGCTCTGCCCTGGTGAGGCTGTATCTGGAGCACTGTGTCCAGTTCGGAGCCTCCCAGTTCAAGAAGGACAGGGAACTGCTGGAAAGAGTCCAGCAGAGGGCTACAAAGATGATCAAGGGAATGGAGCACCTCCCTTATGAGGAGAGGCTGAGACCTGGGTCTGCTTAGCCTGGAGAAGACTGAGGGGATTTTATCAATACTTATATATCTATACTTATATAATACTTATATATCTAAAAGCTGGGTGTCAAGAGAATGGGGCCAGACTCTTTTCAGTGGAGCCCAGCAACAGGACAAGGGGCAATGGGTCACAAACTGAAAGATGGGACATTTCCTCTGAACATGAGGAAAAACTTCTTTCCTTTGAGGGTGGCAGAGCCCTGGAAGAGGCTGCCCAGAGAGGCTGTGAAGTCTCCTTCTCTGGAGATATTCAAAGCCCACTTGGACATAGAATCACAGAATCATAGAATCATTCAGGTTGGAAGAGACCCTTGGGATCATCGAGTCCAACCATCCACCCTACTCTACATAGTCCTCCCCTACACCATATCCCTCAGTACCCCATCTAAACGTCCCTTAAACACATCCAGAGATGGTGACTCAACCGCCTCCCTGGGCAGCCTATTCCAATGCCCAACCAATAAACCCAACATGTTCCTGTGCGACCTGCTCTGGGTGACCCTGCTTTGGCAGGGGGGTTGGACTAGATGATCTCCAGAGGTCCCTTCCCACCCCCTGCCATAGACTGTGTGATGTGGAGGAGCACCCCTCCGGGGAAGGGGGGGGGATCCCCCGCGGGGCCCTCCCCGCCCGTGCCGCTGTCCGCCCCGGTGGTGCTGAACGGCGGCGGCGCCCTCCCGGCACGGCACGGCCCGGCCCGGCTCTCCCGTGCTCCCTCCGGGAAGAACGAACGGGATTAAGGCTGCGGTAATCGGGGCCGGATTAACTCCCTGGAAACCGGCTGCAATCTGAGCAGCTGCAAATGTCCCCCAACCCGGGGGGAAGGAGGGAGGCTGGGGGGTGCGCATCCGCCGCCCAGATGCCGCGCCGAGATTAAAACGGGGGGGGAGAGGGAAGGGAAAAAAAACAGAGATATATCATCCGCTGCTTTTGGGAAGGGCTAGGCTGGCCGGGATCCGGCAGCCCCTCCTCTTCCTCCTCCCTCCTCCTCTTCCTCTCCCTCGCAGCCTCGCTCTCCTCTCCCGGCCAGCCGCCTTCAGCGGAGGGGGCGAGAGGAGCGCAGAGCCCGCAGCCCGCCCCCCCCTCCCGCTCGCCGGCGACAAGAGATGGGCGACATCCCCGGCCTCGTGAAAATCAGCGTCTCCCTCAAAATCCAGCCCAACGACGGGGCGGTGTATTTCAAGGTGGACGGGCAACGCTTCGGCCAGAACCGCACCATCAAGCTGCTCACCGGGGCCAAGTACAAGATCGAGGTGTCCCTCCGGCCCGGTACCGTCCAGGCCACGTAAGTACAAGTCTTCCCTGCCCGGGGCGGCTCCCCCGTCCCTCCCTTCCCTCCCCTGCCGCTTTATTTTTAGAGGTTTAATATTTTTTCCTGGCAGGCTGACAGCACGGGGTTTCCGCGATTTCTCCCTCCCCACCCTTTTCGCCTCAGTGGCCCGGTTTCTAGGTCCCTGGCCAGCTGTTCCCACTGCTTTGCCCAGCTGGCTCGGGAGAGAGGCAGCATTTGGGAGTTGGTTCCTTCCCTCTCCCTCCCCGACCTCCTCCCTCAGCTCCTTTCCTCCCTCCTTCCCCACGATTGGCCCTGGAGACAGAGGGAAGAGGCCCCTCTGGCCCTGCATGTCAGGGATGCACCCTGCCCAAGCCTCGCAGCAGAAAAGGGAACCGGGGAGGATGCAGATGAGGAATCGACCCCGGTGAAGGGGATTCAACTCACCCATCCCCAGCTACTGGAAATCAGACACCACCACCTCCTTCCCTTTCCACACCTTCCCTGGGTGACTGCAGAGCCCTGACATTTTTCAGGAGCCCCAGTGAGTCAGCAGCACCTGCAGGTCTGCTAAAAATCCCTGAAGCATCCCCCAAGCACAGAGGCTGCCAGGCTGCAAGCCCATGTGCTGGCTCCAAGCTGCCAGGGGAGGAGGCGTGTGAGGCTGCTCCAAGGCTGGATCCCATCTCTCTGCAGGACAATGGGCATCGGGGGCGTCAACGTCCCCCTGGAGGAGAAATCGAGGGACGCACAGGTGGCCTCTTACACAGGGATCTACGACACAGAAGGGGTGCCCCACACCAAGAGTGGGGAGAGACAGCCCATCCAGGTCAACATGCAGGTATGTGGGTCTCTGCGGGGCGGGAGCCTGGCATGGGAAGATGAGGGAGGGCAGCTGACTCTCAGGGAGAGGTGTGGAGGTGAATTAACTCCAGGGCAGAAGCCTGATCACAGCTGCTTGCCCTTCTCTTTGCTGTGCATCAGTATGACAGCTGGTCGCTGTGGAAAACACAAGCCCTGCTTCCCAAGGGGAAGCCAAGAGAGCAGCAAGGGCCAAGAAGCAGTAGGGGGATTTCTAGAGATCTGCAGCAGAAAGAAATGCGAGCTGAACGTCTCACCTCTTCTTCAGGACATCTCTTCTACAGACTCCAGGCAACTCCCTCCAAGGTCCCTGGCTAGGAATCAAATCCCAAGCCCCTGGCATACAGGGAGCCTACTCTTTTTGCCTACCAACACTGCCAGGGTTTTTGGAGCACAGCATGCCCCCTTCCACTCTCCCCTTCCACTTGTCATCTGCAGAATGCCTGAGGACTTTCCAGAGGTTGAAATCATGCCTGAGAATACACACACCCCACCAGTTGTCTTCCCCCTTTCCCCACATGCTGCCATTATCATATTATCTCTGCATCCGCAAACCTAAGTTCTTATTCAAGTGGTTCCTCACCCCAACCCTAAAGAGAAGCTCCAAGAACCAGAATCAGTATATTCCATGACCCCAAAGTGAGGTGACAAAAGCTCCATCCCATAAGGCAGCAGAGCTGACAGAAGACAGGAAGAGCAGCAGGCAGACTTCCACAGCACTCTTTGGATAGCACTCCCAGGGTGCAGAGGAAGATTTGTTTTGTTCAGGCTTCGGTTTGGTTCATTGGTTGGTTTTTTTCCCCTCTCCTGATTACAGTTGTGAGGGATTCCCACTGTTTATTCTATGCCTCCTGGACCAAAAAGGGGAAGCAAGGCAGTAAACCATCTTCATCTGAAGCTCTCTTAAGGGTTTGTTCTGATTTATACAAGTTTAGGACCTTGCCAAACCCACCAGTTTCAGCTTTTTCTCACATTTGCTCACTGCATGCAAGACTTCATCTTGTTTTTTATCTTTTTTTTTTTTTTTCCTGGAATCATCATTTAGCATGCCAATCCCCTTCTGGATAAGAACTGTAACATCTCCATTTGACATTTCTAATAATTACAGCATGGGTAACTTAATTTCAGAGACCCACATCATGTTAACAGTTATCACTTCATAATCCTAGGTTAATAAGACTACCCTGAAGTATTTGTCCACAATAATCACTTTTCTATACAGCCAGCTCCTTTTAACATCCAGGAAAACCAAACACCCAGTAGGACTTCTCAGCCAGCAGAACAGGGTTGCTGGATGCCACTGCTGAGTTCTGTAGTTATATTTCACGATGTCCTTATACCAGGAGGTGAAAGGACAGTGCTCCAAGAAACCAGCTGCTTTGACTAAGACACCCCTATTTTGATAGCCACCTTCACCCTTAAGTGTAGCGTTGATGTGAACTCTGAAAATCTGTAAGTTTAACTTCTCTTGTGAATAAAACCAAGGTAAATAAAAAATTAAGTAATTCCTAGAAATGCAAGGAGGGTCTGATTTTCAGGTACAAGCTGGGATGGTTTGTTGCAGCATCAGAATGAATAGCCACAATATTTGTCCAAACAGTTGCTTTTACACATCAAATCCTGGGATATTAACCATGAAGTTAACAGGATTTTCAAGTGTTAAGCGGGTCCTCAAACCCTTTTAGGATTTGATCTTGATAGATAGGTTCTTAAGTACAGACTTAGATGTCCACAATTGATACTTTAAAGTATTAAATATAGATAACTCACCAGGGATTTACATGTTTAACTCATCATTTAGCTGCTTAGCTAGACAGAGCCCTAACAGATTTAGGGAACCAGCCCCAGGTACCCCAGTCTGAAAACTGCTTCTGATACCTACTTCCTGAATCTTCAAAACTGGGCTAATTGCATACAGCTTTAAATTTTCCTACTTCCTTCAACTATGAGGAACTTTTGCCTCCACTTCCTTTTCCAGAACAGGCGGGATCCTGATGCATCCTAGGGAGATAAGGACGCTAATTAAGGCATAAAATCTGAACTCACCTTAGAAACAGATTATGAAGTCAGTCCCGCAGTTAAAAACTGGTCTGGTACAGCCACTCTAATGCCTGAAAAACAGAAAGTCCATAAAGGTTCATTAGAATTTGTTTCCCATCTGCTTTAAAACGTTAAGCAATTAATTCTTTGTGCTCCTACCTTAACTGGCTAGTAGACATCTGTCCTGTTACAGTCATAGTTTATATGTGTAAAACAACAATCCTGTTTCTGAACTTCAGAATCTGAGGATGTGTTTCTGTTACCTGAATGCTCAATTATGTGCGCTTTTTATCCAGGAACTGCTAAACTGTCTAGCAAATGGTGTAAACTAAGTTAGAAACATCTCTTTGGGTCTCGTTTTATTCTTGGTCAGACTAGACTAAGATTGAACAAAGAAAGCTAGACCTCCGTTCCCAAGTAATAAATAGCCATCAAATAATTCCAACACACAAATTCACAGGGAGTGATTAAATAACTATTCATTCTGATAGCACTGGATGACAGGGAGTAGCAGACAGGGAAATAGGCTGCAAAGAGCAGGGCCATCCCTCCGCCCTGGGGAAGCCCTATCCAGGCCCAGCAGAGGAGCCACGGGATTTCAGTGGAGCTCTGAGGATGCAGAATCCTCACTAGAGCACAGAGCTGCTGCAGCTGCCAAAGTACCGGGCTGGGGGGCGCACACGGTCGTGGAAAAGCTCTGCAATTAATTCTTTCCTTCTTGAAATCCGCAGCAGTCAAACTACTCAGGGTAGCTCAGCAAACTGGGTCACCGCAAGAAGACAGGATTTGTTTTCTTCCTCTAGCTTTTTGAAATTCAGATCCTCCATATGTTAATGAAATGTAATGCTGCTCTTGTATCGTACCTTCTACAAATGCTGTTAGAAATGCCTTTTCTTCCTCAGTTTTAAGACTGAGGGTGGCTGACGCTCCTCTCTGACAATTTCTCTGTGTGGATTGTGCACAGTAATATCCAACGTGCTTAACCTTTGCTATCTTGCATTACAAATATATCAGGATTACTATCGGAGAGGTCTGATTAAAAAAACCCTTAATTAAAACTGTAGTTGCTGGGAGGGATAAATAGCCTGTACATCTGATTCTCTTTTTGTCAAAGGAATTAGTAGAAATATTTCAGCTACTCCTTTAAGGTAACATTTGGAACTGGAGCCAAATAAAAACCTTCCAGTAACAGCACACAGCAACTCCTGCTGTTGTCAAGGCTAAATTTAAGTTACCTCAGCGGGCCAGGGAAAGATTTAAAGCAACGTCCATTATGCAGGAGCAGCTTACAAACTGCATCTTGAACTAGAAATAAATAAATGTCCTTCTGTGAAAACTGGATACAGAAGGCTCTGCTTGCAACTCAGGAAGAGTCACTGTGTAAAAAGGCTTTCCTACTGACTTTGCAAGTGTGATTATAATAGGCAGATGATCAAAGGTCAGTTTGCAGGCACATGATGGGAATGGAAAACAGTCAAGTGAAGCAGCTGTCATTAAAGTGAGTGATGGAAATATTTATAAGGAAAAAATGTTGAAGAACAGACTGCCATTTAGTAGCACTGAATCCACCAACCAACAAACCACACTACTGGGACCAACGACAGCACATATAGGCATCACATGCACACTTTAGACTCTCTACAAGGTCTCAAGGTGCAGGAACTAAAATTTTACATTACCATCAGAGCTGAAGTCATGATCTGTCCTTGTAAGCCTCATTCATGTGGCTTTTCTGATATTACAAGGTTATCTAGCAATAGCTCCACAAAAGCAATAGCTCCACAGAGCTTAGCATAGCCACAGTCCTATTCACTTCAAACTTGCCAGTACCATCAAACAACTTGCAGCAAACATCTCACTACCCCTTCACTGTACTAGACCCTTATCTGCTCTTATCTGCTAACACACGCTGATTATCTCCTTCCTACCTCTCTTACTCATACCGAAGTTTGAAAAGCTGCACTATCACAGTACCACTAACAATTACAGAAACGCACAAAGAAGAACTTCTTTTGCTTAAGTTTCATGTAAAAGGCAGAACAGAGTCCCAGGCAAGGAGTAAGTGGTCTAACAGCAGCATGTCTCAACCAAGGCTACAAAATATAGGGACGTTAAAGATTTCAGATTGAGCAAAAGGAGGAGTCTTCCCAGTAGTAACCGCAGCCTCTAGGCATGGTGTGAAGGTGAAGTGATGGCCTGTATCACTACAGATCACTGCTACATAATATATATATACATGAGATCATCATGCCAGCTATTGCTGTGTCATCTTAAGAATTATAGCTTTGAATTTTGCTGTTAGTAAACAGATAGTTCCAGATGGGAACTTGAATATTTTTACTCCCTTGCCTTTTCCAAACATAAGTGCAAGAAGACAGTACTTGAATCTGACCCTTCATGTTGTATGTACACCTAAGTACACAAGACTTTATATGACTGCTAGAGCAGGCTTTACTTTTGTTTTATTGACTTGAGAAAAAATAACCCTTTATCAGCTGTTCTACATTCCACAGTTTCGTAAGAGTGCTGTTTCTCATTAAGAGAAAGAAGCCAACAGAATAATCAGCTCATTAACACTGATATTCCCTCTTCCTCGCAGTTTAACGACATTGGCATTTTTGAAACAGTCTGGCAAGTCAAATTCTACAACTACCACAAGCGGGATCATTGCCAGTGGGGCAACAGTTTTGGCAGTATTGAGTACGAATGCAAACCAAATGAAACACGCAGTCTTATGTGGATCAATAAAGAGTCCTTCCACTGAAGAGATGTGAAACCAATACTGCTGGACAATCTCCCTAAAGAAAAACCTACCTTTTTAAACCAGCAAGAAGCCTTAACAAAGGCATACTGTAACGTTGCTTTGTTCCGTAAGTTTCCCACAACTACGTTGTATATACAGGTGGTGCCACGAAAATCTTTTGCCTATTACTGTATTTTCAGTTTACCATGGCATCTGCAACATTCTTTATCTGTCACCCTGAGAATACTGAAAAGTTCATGGTAAAAAATATTTGATAGCTGGGTGGAGAGTTGTACCGTTGTAATACTGTCATAAGTATCTGGATTATTCCCCACTAAATGGTTCCACTAGACCTGACAACTTTTGTGAAGTGTTTTGCTTTATTGCTTAGAATTTGGATGCAACATGACATCGGTGATTTCTGTATTTATATTTGTGTTTGCTCCTAAATCAGTGTGCTCCTTCAAGCATTTTGTCATACATGTCATCCCAGTGGACCGCAAAAAGTGCAAATTATGCATATTTATAGGTTTAGCTAAATGGCAGCTACTGCACTGTGGATATTGTGCTTTCATACCGTGGGATTTGGAAACTCATTCTCCCTTCTGTTAAGTGCTGTAAGATATTCTGTGAAGTTTGCTAATTTACCAAATTTCTCAAAATAAGATTCTTTGTTGTTAAGTTTCCCAGTCTCTGAAATAGCTTTAGGAAACAGTATAAAACACACTAACCTGAATGCAGGAAAAGCAATAAATGAGTTGTGGTATCAAAGACATCTTACAACATGGCGAATATCTATTTTAAGATCACATAGTATTCTAGAAAGATATAGCAGCCATAATTAATTCAGTTCTTAGAGTAAGAGTTCTGACAGTAATCGCCATTTTTGTTTTAATGACACATTGCTCAAATCAGTGAAATCCTACAAATCAACTTCTTCAAGCCTGACCACTGTATTATACTCAAACCGACAGGATTTCTGACCAATAAACACTCAGCAGCCTGAAGAGTGCAAATCCCACTGCACTCTTTCAAATAAAGATAAGCATATAAGCATTTGCGCGGTTCTGAGTAAAGGTGCTACATAAACACTAGATCAGTGTTTAACACACACAGACAACAAAAAACAAACATACTTTCTTTCAGTAAATAAAGCAGGGAAACAACTCCACTGTCCCATCCCCAACTTGGGCTGAAGGAAGCTGTCAGTTCTTGCGTATCTGTTATTCCCTGTGTGAATAATTTGTAAATTGCGTATGTAAATGGTAACCATGATTTTTGATCTTTGTAATAAAGGACTTAAACAATTTCTTCTCTAGTATGACCATCTAAATGAGTTGAAAATACTGTGGTTTTAGAAAGTCAGACAGCAGAGGTTCCGTAGCCAGTGCTTTCCAGTCTGAAGTACCTCATGTTCTTTACTACTCAAGGCTACTGTTTCTAGGAAATACCAAACAAGTATTTTCTTCCATGGAATTATTAATCAAAAAGCTTGACCGTTTGCAGATTTCCACATACAAAAGAGCCTGACAGTAGCGCGAATATAAGACCCCACGGAAGAGCGAGCTGGCCCGCTGCATCTCTGTTCTGAGGCAGTATTACACAGCAAAAGTTCACTCAATGAAAGTCTGGAAATAATCCTCTGGGTTAACTTCTCTACTAGCCTCTTGCTAGGCTACAGAAAAAATGCTCCAAAATTAAAAAAAAACTGAACTAAGCAAATTCAAATGAAACCTGTATTTCAGAAGTGTCATTGCCACCACTTCAGCAGGAATTTTCAGATAAGCAGGCCTCAATGATACCGAACTGCCAGGTGTCAATAAATTCCATCTCAGCACTGCTAGAACACGATTTTCTTCCACAACAATTGGCAAACTTTGGTTTATTTTGTTTGACCATACAAACCAGAATCACATCACCAAGAAATATGTAGGATTCATAAATTGACAGAGAAACCTCTGTCCTAGTAAAATTTAAATGTGTAAGACGCATTCACTTCTATGTTCAGCTTCTATAAAACCCTTGACCCATGATGTCCAAGCCCTCCAACATTTAAGAAATGTTATAATGAATAAATTCAGCCTATCCTGCCATAGGAGGGCTACTATTCTCAGCCAGCTGGAAGTACACCTTTTCCAAGGAAAATACTCATGTTCATATAAATGCCAAACAGGGGAGCAATTTTCTTATGTCCTAGCAAGCCCTGTAGTAACTCAGCTGAAATTCAGTTCAGAGGGTTGTGAAGAAAGAGCCCCCAGATGGAGTGAGCTGCTTTTAAAAGGAAGGAGAGAAGAGCCAGACCTTCAGAAGAGTCTCCACATCCTGGTA